GAGGATGTTAGCGGGCTGGAAGCGTATGTACCTCTCAAAGGGAGGTCGTCTTATACTCATCAAGTCCACTTTATTGAATCTACCCACTTACTTCTTGTCATTGTTTCCTATCCCTGTTACCGTGGCAAAAAGATTAGAGAGGATTCAAATGGAGTTTCTTTGGGGAGGTTTAGGGGAGGAGAGGAAACTTCACTTGATTAACTAGGGTGTAGTGTGTTCCTCCACAAAAAAAAATGGGGGCCTCAAATTGAGGAATCTTTTATTGTTTAATAAGGCCTTGCTGGGTAAGTGTTTGTGGTAATTCGGTGTAGAGAGGGAAAGCTTTTCGAGAGAGATTATAGAGGCGAAATATGGTGTTCTAGAGGGGGGATGGTGTTCAGCCGAGGATTGTGGTTCTTATGGGGTGAGTTTGTGGAGGTATATACGACGATGATGGAGAGAATTTCAGGATAGATTGACGCATGAGGTGGGGAATGACAATACTATCAGATTCTGGGATGATTGTTGGTGTACAGATCGGCCATCAAGAGCAGAGTATCCTTCCCTGTATCGTATTACTTTGATGCCGCAGACTATGGTGCATGAAGTCTTACATGCGCATAATGGGAATCCCAGCTGGAACATTATTTTTTGGAGGGGCCTACAAGATTGAGAATTGGATGATTATGCACTACTCCTGACTTCTTTGTATGAGGTGCACATCAGGGTGGGCGAAAGTGATCGTAGCAGGTGGAGGTTGGCACACGATGACATTTTATCAGTAAGCTCTTATTTTAGATCTTTATTGGAACCTGAGGAGAGTTTATTCCCATGGAAGAAGGTATGGCGTTGTAAACTACCCACTTGGGAGGCATTTTTCCTATGGACGGTTGTGAAGGGACAGGTGTTAACGGTGGATAACCTCCGATGCAGGGGTTTTTATGTTACCGAATGGTGCTATATGTGTCGGAAGAATGGGGAGACGATTGACCACTTGTTCATTCATTGTGACGTTGCTCGCACCCTATGGAGCAATATTTTAGCTTATCAACACATGGATTGGGTGTTTCCACAGAGTATGAAGGATGTTTCGAAGGCATGGGGAAAATGATTTCGTAATAAAGATAGCAAGATTGTTTGGGACCTTGTCCCAGGATGCATCATCTGGAGTATTTGGAGAGAGAGAAATAGTCTTTGTTTCGATAATAATACACGGACAACAGAGCATATTAAAGAATGGTTTTATCTAACACTATATATTTGGTTTAATGCTATGGCTATTACTCGCATAGACGGGTTACCCAATTTCATGTCATTTCTGTCTTGTATTAATTGATAATACACTTTCTGTGTATTATCCATGATTAATAAAATATTTGATTACTTATAAAAAAAATAGGAAAAGATTTTTTTATTTCATATAACAATTACAACCGGCGGCACTCTTTTATAGTACAAGGAGAAAGAAGAAAAATGAATAAAAAACAATCTTCCTAAATATATACCAATCAATTCCTAATTCCTAAATTACAACTTTCCTACTTATACGAGGCTAATAAAGGTAGGTTCTTCAATCACATATTTTATAATATTCTTGGGATTCCAATAGGATTCAAATGATCTGGAGCGTGAAAGGGGAATAACAATACTTAGCAAAAGTACATCAATTACATATAATGATACAAAAATTAACATCATTGATACTCCAAGCCGTTCTGACTTTGGAGGTGAATTGGAGCGAATTCTCAACATTGTGGAAGGAGTTTGTGGAAACAAAATCGTATCAATAAAGAAAGAGATAGAAATTGATTGGGAATATTCTTTCGTTCCATAATTACTGTAGTATAAATTGATTCCTTGCTAGTTTTAGAAGATTAAATTTTTTTCTTTATTTACAACTTCTTGTACGTTATAAATAGTTCCCCATCTCATTGTAAATATTAATGAAGAAATTATTACAATAAGTCTTTCTTCATGGTATCAGAGCCGACTAATATCTGACCCGACTGGAACATGGTTGAATCAGCCACGAACAGCAGAGGTTCAATGACCTCCGACCTAGGGTTTGAAGCTACATTTTCCATGAACAGAGAAGGCAATCAAGATGTAACGGATCATTACCTGGAGATGACCGGATTTTGTCAAGAATTGGGCTTGAGTTCGGAGGAGTGGAAGTGTGGAGAAGAAGTGATTCCGGCTTCAGACATTGTCACGTTTAAGTGAGAAAAGAAAGAAGAAATAACTGGAAATCAGAAAATATCTGAAATCGTATCAGACCGTTGTCACGAACTTGAGGAAGTTCGAAGTCAAATACTCGGCTGGTGACACCTTCCCTCACTGTTGGAAGTCACTTTGGATGTGAGGCAAAAGGAAGATCAATTGAAAATATTGATGAGCGAAATGGGTCGCCGATGGTGGAAGCGTCCGGGCAAACCTTCAATGGATTTGGAACATTTGATGCTGGGCTAATGAATCCTGTATTTGGTCTCTCCAATAATGGGCCAGTTAATGGAGGTAATGGGTTTGCTAGAATTAATCAAAGAATGGGCTTAAATAATGGCCCGAATAGCCCCTTCAGCTTACTAGCCCACCGAGGCAATTTCTTAAGTGCTTTGCAATCCAACACTCAGTCTAAAACTCCTTGGATTATTGACTTGGGAGCATCTAACCATATGACGGGTTCCCACCACCTGTTCTCTTCATACTCCACTTGTGCGGGCAATTTGAAAGTTAAAATTGCATATGGCTCCCTATTGTCGGTTGCAAGAAAAGAAAGTATCAAAATCTCTGATTCTATCACTTTAGAATATGTCCTCCATGTTCCAAAGTTATCTTGTAATTTACTTTCTATAAGCCAGTTGACAAAAAAACTCAAATTTCTCTGCTAAATTTTTTCCATCTTATTGTGTTTTTTAGGACCTATCATCGAGGAAGACGATTGGCAGTGCTAAGGAAAGTGAAGGACTCTACTATTTTGACGAGACTGATGTGAGTAAACAATGTCAAATTACAATTTGTGATTCTGCATCTGTTCCTAGAAATAGTGAAATCATGTTATGACATTATAGAATGGGTCATCCAAATTTTTAGTATCTAAAATGAGCATTTCCTTCAATTTTTAGAAATAAAGAGTGCACTGATATTCAATGTGAGATATGTGAGTTTGCAAAACACCAATGTACATCGTTCCTGACTACCACTTATAAACCATCCAAACCATTCACTATGATCCATAGCGACTTATGGGGTCCCTCAAGAATTCCTAATCGCACTCATGCAAAGTGGTTTGTGACGTTCATCGACGATCACACTCGAATTTGCTGGGTGTACCTACTAAAAGATACATCCGATGTTCGATCTATTTTTATCAATTTTCACTCCATGATCCAAACACGATTCCAAACAAAAATTCAAATTTTACGCACAGATAATAATGCTGAATATTTCAATAATACCATGGGGGACTTTCTTCAAAAACGTGGAATAATTCATCAAAGCTCTTGTGATGATTCTTCTCAACAAAATGGGATTACCGAACGTAAGAATAGACACCTACTAGAAATCGTTCGTGCATTGATGTTTACTACTAATGTGTCCAAAATGTTCTGGGGGGATGCAATTCTGACATCTACTTACCTAATTAACAGAATGCACAGTCGTATCCTGAACTTCGAATCCCCTCTCCAAAGACTTCAAAAATCATTTCCCACCTCTCTCTTTAACTCTAATTTATCCTTACGTGTATTTGGTTGTACTGCCTTTGTTCATATTCACTCTCATCACAGAGGTAAACTTGATCCTAGAGCAGTTAAGTGTGTCATGATCGGATATTCTCCTACTCAAAAGGGATACAAATGCTATGATCCCTCCACAAAAAAAATCTTTATAAGCCTTGATGTCACCTTCTTCGAAAACATTCCATACTTTAAAAACACCTCTCTTCAGGGGGAGACACAATATGAAGATCGGTTCCTAAAATTCGATCTCAATTTCAATCATCTTGAATCTACATCAAACAACAAATCCATCCTATCATCTAGTATGCCAATAACAGAAGAAAACCTTAACCCTGGGGGAGATGTGGAAAAACAAATTGATAAAGATATACTGGTTTACTCACGGAAGCCCAAATCAAAATACAAAGAAACTATCACTTCCGAAGCACCAAAAGAGTCAGAACCGGTGATGGCTCCTCATGAAACTTCAGAAATCCCTGATTTGCCAATTGCTCTCAGAAAATCAACTCGGTCATGTACACTCCATCTTATTTCAAAATTTGTCTTATAATACTTTATCTACAGGATTTCGTGCTTTTACCTATCATCTTGACAGTACAGAGATCCTGAGAAATATCGAAGAAGCCTTGAAAATCCCAAAACGGAGGGAAGTAGTGTAGGAGGAAATGAAGGCATTGGAGAAAAATGAGACTTGGGAGGTTTTGGACTTACCGAAAGGAAAGAAACCAGTTGGATGCAAATGGGTCTTCAATTTGAAATACAGAGCTGATGGGACTATAGAACGATATAAAGCTCGGTTAGTTGTAAAAGGGTACACACAGACCTATGGCATCGATTACATAGAAACTTTTGCACCAGTAGCAAAACTGAACACAATTCATGTTCTTCTGTCCTTAGTAGCAAATTTAGATTGGCCATTGCAACAACTTGACATTAAAAATGCCTTTCTGAACGGAGAATTAGAAGAAGTTTTTATGACATTACCACTAGGGTTCAGCAAGACAAATGAAGGAAATAGAGTATGTAAGCTCAAGAAATCTCTATATGGGCTTAAACAGTCACCAAGGGCATGGTTTGACAGATTCGCGAAAGTACTAAAGGGTTAAGGATATCGACAAGGATAATCAGATCATACTATGTTCCACCAACAATTCAATGATGGAACTAAGACAATCCTAATTGTATATGTTGATGATATCATTCTGACAGTAGATAATGTAGCGAAAATTGAAAGGCTAAAGAGATGCCTAGCCACTGAATTTTGAGGTAAAGGATTTGGGACAAATGCGATACTTCTGGGGAATGGAGGTGGCGAGATCAAAAAATGGAATCAGCGTTTCACAACGTAAATATGTCCTTGATCTCCTAATTGAAACCGGCATGCTAGGTTGCAAGCCAAGTGATACACTAGTTGAAGCAGGAAAAAGACCTAATGATTTGGGAAATCAAGTGGATACAGACACATGCCAGAGACTAGTTGGAAAGTTAATCTACCTGTCACACACTAGACCCGATATTGCATTCGCAGCGAGTCGTGTAAGTCAGTATATACACTCTTCAAAAGAAAGTCACATAGAAGCAGTCCATAAGATACCTTAAAGAGTCACCAGGAAATGGACTTTTCTTCAAGAAGAGTGAAAGGAAAGATGTTGAAGCTTTCACAGATGCGGACTGGGCAGGTTCAATAGAAGATAGAAGATCAACCACGGGTTATTGTACTTATGTATGGGGAAATCTTGTGACTTGGAGGAGTAAGAAACAAAGTGTAGTTGCCAGAAGCAGTGCTGGGGCCAAGTTCAGAGTTGTAGCACAAGGTATATGTGAAGGGCTGTAGCCGAGAAAACTTTTGGAAAAATTGCATGTCGGAGTTAAGTTTCCTATCAAAATCTACTGTGATAACAAGGCAACAATCAATATCTCACTTAATCCAGTCCAACATGATCACACCAAACATATAGAACTTGACAGACACTTCATAACAGAAAATGTTGAGGAAGGAACTATTTGCATGACCTACGTTCCCACACAAGAGCAAGTTGCAGATATCTTTACCAAGGGACTACCTTGACTAAGTTTCAACGATTTCATATGTTTGAGCCACATTTTAGGAAAAAATGCATTATTCTTGTCAAATCAATGGGAAATGTGTGGTTAAAAAATAAGGCAAAGTTTTAAATGTGTGTAATATTATTTTATTAAAAAATATGTGGTTAAAATGATGTCAAATCACTGTTAAAAAATATATATTTTTGAAAATAATGTGATTCAAACAAGCCCTCAACCTATAATTTTTGAAGGATAAAGATCGGTATAGATGAAAAAAGAAGGCATGAAGAGAGCAAGAAGAAGTTCAAAATTGGACCACAGAGAACTTTAAGATGCATAAAAATTGAATAAAAAATGGAATTGTGGATCAAAAGAAGCAGAAATGGCGGATTTGTTGAAGAGACATGGTCCGTAGTGTAGGAAAATGGAGAAAGAGTCTCTGTGTCATATTCATTTGAATTGAGAAAAAGTGAAGGCGTGGTGTCAAAGATGAAGGTGGCATCTCTTTACCATTCTTGTTAACAAAATAAATAAATAAATAAATAAAAATTGAAGGTTGATGATAGGAGGTGCTGACACGTTTCCAATATGAATAGTGGCTTATGTTAGTCTCTTTTATATTATAATGAAATAGATATGAGCAGCTAAAGTGCATAATACACTATCAAGCACTATCATCCATACAAGCTATAAATGAAAACTGTGGTGCTCTATCCTAAAATAATGGCTGCTTTGGTCAAAAGAAGATGATAATCGTATGCACTTAACAATTCGCGATATTCAGGGCTATGTTATTTCTTCTTATAGGTAAAACTTACTATGGTTGTTTTTGCAGATTACCACTGTTGAGGCACCTGAAGAATGCATGGGAACTGTTGTAGAACTTGAGAAAAGACTAGTGGCGGATCCAGCACTTGGCGAGCACTCGTGGCCGCGCGTGTTGGATTCATCGGGAGCCATTTTTTTTGGGTTGAGAATAGATAAAGCTTTAGCATATATTACTGGCAATTGATTTTCTTTTCAACTATTTATTCTAGCAAAGATGGTTAGCGCTTGTATGTGCGTCTTGGAAGTTCGAGTTCGAAACTTTTGTCAACCAATTTATTGTATAAAATTTTTAGTAATACAGTTTTTACCAAAAATTATTGTAATAAAGAAGGCGCCAGAGGAAATTTGAACTTGTGAGCTCTTGTTAGAAATATTGAAAGCTTTACCGTTATGACACTTGCTGAGTTGTGATACTAAATTTAACAAAATAATATATGTAGATTTTAGCGGTTTTAATGCAATTGTAAAAATTTGAACCTTTGCTTTTCTTTTGAATTATACAAAGCAACAATATCATTTGGTGACAATTTATTCTTATAACAAAATTATATATGTTCAACTTCAACAAAATAAATGTTTGAATCAAATTTTAAGCCTTGTTGGATTCCTATTTATTTCAGAATACATTTTTCATTCTCTTATTTTAGATCATATATTCTTTAATAAAATAATATTACACGTAAATTCAAAACTTTTTCTTATTTTTAACTAAACATTCTACATCAAATCACTATTCCAAAATGTATTTTTTGTAAAAAGGACATCAAACAAGCTCTTAAGATTTTATTGCAATTGACGGTCCATGGTCGACAGTCAACGGTCAACGGCCGCCCGTGCTGATTCAATATCCTAGATTCGCCATTGGAAAAGACGCGGACAAATGTTTGATATGCAAGGTCGTGGGTATGTGAACACTCTGTAATGTATCTTGTCATCAGTAATACTCAACAGAAAATCTTGCTTTTTTGGCTTCAAAGCTAACAAAAAGAATAATCTTGGTTAGATATTACCTATATTGCTTTATTTTCTATTTTTTTGTCAGTATTTATGTAGTTATATGCTGGCCTTGTGATTTTTACTACGTTATTCCTCAAACTTCACTTTGGTGAAGCCAATTATTCTATGGTTTCAGAAATTATAGAATTCCATTCTCTTCATTAGAAAAATCTTATCATTGCAAATTTCATGTTAGTATCCTTCAGATGCTCCTCTTTGATTGAGATTTAACTTTTGATACTAACAATAAGCGACTCAATGTGTTTGTGCGTATCTGTAAGTATGTATGTTCTCGAAAGTCTCGCTTATTTGCTCGTCCCTTTACTCACATTACAAGATTTTGAGTTGATAAACTATCTTTCTCCATTATTTTGCCTTTGCCATCTTGAATTGTAGCACAATAACTGATCGGCACCATTGGACGTAGTGTGAAGACGGTAGCCCACCGAAACCCCCAACGTCGAAATAGCATTTGAAGATGGCAGTCGAATTGTAGATGCTGGGCAAAGGTATGTTTTTATTTTCTGATTTATGCATTGCTTTATCAAATTTAAGGTTAAGTTGTCTTAGACTTGTTTACATAATTTGGGTGTTATTTCCTCTTTATTTAGACATATATTTGAAGTATTTGATTTCTTGTTCTTCGTAAATTAGTGAGATTTTTCATAAATTTTTGAGCTTGGTTGTTAAGTTCATTTCTCATAGAGAAAGGTATTTTGTTCTGGGCAAAGGTATTTTTCATAAATTTCTAGGCAAAGATATTTTGTTCATTTTTCATAAAGAGGGGGTATTTTGTTCTGGGCAAAGATATTTTTCATAAATTTTTGGGCAAAGGTATTTTGTTCATTTTTCATAAAGAGGGGTGTTTTTCTATAGAGTATGCTTCAGTGTGCCTACTTCTGTTAAGCTACTAGACGAATTATGCTTAAATGCGCCTACTTCTGTATGCTTAAGTGTGCCTACGTTTGTTAAGCTACTATATGCACATGGGGTGAGTGGTAAGACTCAATGCAACAAGAGAATACATCTACAAGAATTAAAAATGTACTATAACTAAACATTCCACCATTGACCTCCTATAAAAACATGTGACAGGGGAAGAAATAAGAGAAGCCTGAAAAGATTTAGTTCTTGCAAAATTCAATGTGGTCAAATCTAAGAAAATATAATACTACTGAACTATATTCCATTTACTCAAGTGATTTTGATCGATATGATGTTCAATTGCTGTTGGTAGCATGCTAGAGAAGACCATTAAAGTGGCCAAGTAGCAAAAGGCCAATTAGCTACTTTAAGACAGCTATTCAGACATTTAGTATGAATGCAGCCATATCCTCTGTGTGTTCATAAATGGTATAAGAATAGAAGCCCGAAGAACCACAAAGCATTATGAACCTGAAGCACGTATCATAATATAAGCACCAATTCTTCATAATCAAACACAACAATGAATATCAAGATTATAAGCAGCATCAGTACTGCAATAATGCACCTTTTGTGCATAGTGAAGGGAGCATGTTAGCCCTCAAATGAGGGATCCCATGTTCTTCTGAATGAGACTTCTATTTGTTCTGCATTTTCCACTACAACTTTGTTTGTAATGTACTGCTATTCATAAGTTCAAATGTAGGATTTCATATTTCAGTTGCATTCATGTGGGATTTTTTGTTTTGTCAGCAGTTGTTGAGTAGAACGAGAGGAAGGAATTTCAGAGTTTGTCATGACTGTAAAAGTAACACTCACTACTTTGGACAATGCCAAATAGAACGTGGATGTCCTTCATGTAAAAGTGGATCTTGGACATGTTTTGAGGTAGAACGAGAATTGGAAACAAAGGGTGCTTGTTCTTCACGTGTAGTAACAAATGTGGATATTTCAATTGAGTGAAAATGAAGATTTAAGCGGTGAGTCGACTACCGTTAACGAAGAGGTGAAGCACGAGCCCAACGAGGAATACGAAGACTTGCCAAGAGTCTTCGACAGCCTAGCTCGAATTACCGAGAAACGAGATGTCGACATAACATTGCTGATTGCATATTACATTTTGCAAAGGAGAAGGAATTGTAGAAAGTCATGGGAAGGGAAAAGAAACGATGTGAACGGGTGATGTCAATTTGTATTTGCTATATGCTTTATTTGTACTCTAAGAACTTCTTGGCTATAGTAGTCTTCGATGTCCAACGCTTAATTTTGTCAACGTTGTTCGAGCTTTGGACATAAGTTTAATATTTTACGAATTGTTGTAATGCTTAGTAGGCTTGTTTTAATATTTTTCCATAATTTTGTTCAAGAATTAGTAGGCTTCACACAAACGTCACACCATTAAGAATAGAGTTATATACCGATCTCTGATTTCTAGACAGGTGATCTGTCACCTAAAGAGAAACAATCCCATGTGCCCAAGTGTAGGCAAATGAACTTGTGAAAAATGCAAATGTATAAACCACACATGAAATGATCCGTAAAGTGAACAACAATTGACATCATCATCGCCGCCATTTTACAATCAGGTTTGGATATAAAATACAAAAAACAAACATGTTTGTGATTTCATTAAACAAATAGGCTTGAATATAAAATAAAAAAAGAAAAAAAATGTTGGTGCTTGTTTGAAATTAAAATCAGAAGTCCAAATCAAAACTTATATCTTAAACATTTCCCAAGGCCAAGTCACGTAAAAAAAATCGATTTTAGTTCCAACAAGACAAACTTCAACCATGATAGTGTTCGAAATCAATTAGCCTGTAACAACAGCTTTATGAGTTTGTACACTAAAATCTTGAGGGCCTGAATCTGATAGCACTTCACACAAAATTCCAATGGTTGCCCTAGACCCACGATCACTCGTGCTGCAAATGATTCCCCATGAACCAATTATTTCACGACTTCAATCCTGCCTTTTTCTCAATGTCTGCAAATTGCTACAGATTAGATAGGAAAATAGTGAAGGCTGACATTTTTATTGGTCCTTATCTATGCATCTTGAGCACAGAATAGAAAACCTCAAAGTACAGTGCTCAAAGCATATGCTGTGAGATCAATGTTACCACGTTAAATTGCAAAAGCAAATTTATAAATCATATCATGGAGTACATAGAATATTCATTATTCCCAAGATCAAATATTCCGCGGCACCAATCTTTCACAATCCGTAACTTCATCAAAATCATACCCATCAATATTCAGCGGCACCAATCTTTCACTACTAAACATCACACCCACCTCAGGCTTCGTCACAACATCTCCTAATTTTTCGTTGTCCAATGTGTTCGAATTTTCCGCAATTAAGGTACGTATCGAACCTCAAATAAAAAATAAAAAATAGATCCGTTAGTAAAATAGCTTCTCGAATCAATGTTATCTTTTATTACTACCTTTATTTTTCCCTCATAATAGTCAGAAGAGGAGTGCATACAATTTTTTTAACAAATTTTTAGATTCAACTAATCTTGACAAACTCCTAACAAGAATTGCTAAAAATAAGATGTTAAATTAACACTCATGAAAATCTGAATTATTAGAGCCCCCCCAAAAAAAAAAAAAAAAGATCATGTACGCAAAAAATCACGTGGAAATCCCAATTAACATCACATAATCCTCTAGTATTCAACAAAAAAGATCTAATATAATTATTAGAGCCCAACAAAGATGCAGCAGCAAGCTTTGCATATTAAAAAAAGGCACCAAGGGAAGCTTACCACAATAAATAGCTGAAACGAAATGAGGAAAAAATGAAAACACCTTCATCCATCATGTACGATTGCATTGCCGTCTTCAAAAACCATTTGCACGTTTGGTTTCGGTGGACTACATCCAGTGGCGTGTAGCGGGTAGTGGTCCAGATGTCGACGACGAAGAAAGGGACGATTTTCCATATGCTTGCGATTTTGGGGGAAATGAAGAGCTGCGGGTCTTCCTCTTGCGTTATAGTTTTGGGGGGAAATACCCACAGACGGGCGAATTGTTAAGAGGAAAACCGGTTTGCTTTTGTTTCCGGTTTATGGGTTTCATTTTTTTAAAACGGCTGAAAGGGGCTGAAATTGTAAAGAGAATAAAAAATGAATTATTCAATTCCAACTCAGCATATTCAAAAATCTGTCCCAATTCTGTGGGTATTTCCTGTACCCATAGACTGATTGATTAGGTCAAAACAACTCTCGTGAAACATAAAATTCCGACTCGGGGTCTACCTGGATTGAGAAATTCCATTCTTACAGCATCTAGGGGCACAGCAGTTCTCAACTCGATATTTGATGAATATGGACCATGGGCTGGTGATATAAGTACCGGCGACCTGGGTTCGCTGCTACGTTCTAACCCTCAATGTAAACAAGTTTCATTGAGATTTTGACAACATTTTAAGATGGTCTTAACGTGTTTAAATCTTTTAAGGTTGCTTTTGAGGATGGAACGACTACATCTTATGCTCTTTTGAGTTCACAAGAAAGAGGACAGTTGTTCATTGGCCCCGGAGTCGTTGTTTATAAAGGTCAAATGGTAGGAATTCATCAGCGTCCTGGTGACTTGTCCCTGAATGTGTACAAGAAAAAAGCCGTGAAAGAGGTACATTGTTAAAGATTTTTTACATGTTTAAATGGGATAGTAGCTTGTCTTTCATTTAAATTATTCATCATCGAATGCAATTCATGAACCCAGTGAAAGGTTCCCTGGAGAAGAAATATATGACTATGTTTGCTTTATATCCTATCAACAAAGACGGAACGACCCAACCTGGTGCTTATTTGTGCTTTTGGACTGTTTTTCTTAGCAAATTTCTTGCTTCTATGCACTTGATTATTTATTAATTTTTTGGTTGGCACATGTAATGGTTCTTGATACCCCACTGGATTACAGCCTGGACGACTGCATAGAGTACATTCAAGAAGATGAGCTGGTTGAAATTACTCTCCAGAGTATTCGAATGTGCAAGAACCAGAAGATGGCAAAGAAGACACGGTGAAAATTAATTTCGGACGAGCCTCAATGATTTTCTGGCTTCTTGTTGACAAACTCGCCTTTGATTAACAGTGGCGGATAATGCAACTATATACACGGTACATCATGCTCCATTCGTAGTTATACGTGAGAAGCATGTTGCATAAATTTGAAAGGAACCATATTCATAAAATCCTTTCATAAAATCATAAATTCCATGTTGAAATCAAAGAGACAACAAAAAAGTGCGGAAACATACATTGATCCATGAATCTTACTGCTTTAATTGGGTTTTGATCTTCCAATTGATACGTGATTCTCTTTCCTTTTGGTTTTTTTCAAAGTCTCTGTTGATGGGGATGCAGAGATATTTTCCAAAGAAAATCACGTTCAAATTGGGGACCATAACCACTTTTAAAATAACTGCTATTGGCAGTTATTAACTTTAAGTTATTTCAAATCGGCCCCTCATCAATTCAAAATTACACATTCTGGTCTCTACACTTTAATCCCATAAAATTTAATACCCATTAGTCCAAAATTAAATCCAATGGATCACTTTATCGACTATATTTACTTTAAAATAGCACCACACATTCTAATAAATGTACATGTGTAGCCCCAAAGTTGGAATTTTTTCCAACAAAGCAAACCCACCTACAAATTAACCAAAACAATTGATTAGTGTAAGGATTTGCAAAGTAAAATGAAGAAAATCAAGACCAAAATCTGAAAAAATTAAGGAACGGTTTTCCCCTTTATAATTCGGCTCAGAAACTTGATCCATACCACAAAGGTATCTCCAATTTGAAGGCCATTATCAGTCACACAGACAGATTCACAAAGAAAAGGCAAGAGAGGATTTGTTTGCACTAAGCAGGGAAGTTTTTTCTTCCTCTTGTTTTTGCTCTCGGTTTGGTGTGGTAAATGGAAGGGAAAGGTCTCCTATTTATAGGCTTATAGCAGTGATCGAATTTCACAGGAGTCTGCAAGATTAGATTGAATAAGAGTCTGCAAGATTATATCCAAACTGAAAGATAGAGCTCATCCAACAAAAACGAGATAAAATTGGTTTGACAAAGATAACGATAATATTTATCCATCTTTCATGTGAATTTCAAATTCCCTCCAAGTTGGGTATTGAGCATCTAATCCAATGGACTGATTACCTCTAAATACCTAACATAATTGGGCTACTTCAATTGTGGTGTGGATTTAATTCTTCAATCCTGGGCTTATAGCCTATGAAGTTAAAACGGGCATCGATTTTTCATCATAGCCTAGGGAATTTGGGCATCACTTACCAAACATGCCTAACAATACGTTTGGGCATTGCTCGTTCTGAAGGCCTATAGTTTATGATTTTCCAGTAGAAACACAGATTTTCATACTTCACGTATACAATTGGATATTAAATTTTGCATCCCGATTATGGGATTGCAATTTATTGTAAGTATAACTATTACTAGAAATTCATGTTCTTGTTCATTACAAATTACAATCTAAAAGAACCAGAATCATGTACCTATGTACAATGTACGAGTGTGTGTGTCCTTTTTTTTTTTTTTTTTTTTTTAGAATTATATAAAAATATAATTGAAAATTCAACCCACCAGGTTTGTCCCGATGGCTAAATGGAGCATCCAAATTGCTATCCTTTTGATATCAAATTCATTTTCTATGAATTTATCACGTGGAGGAAAAGATATGTATCGATTTGACAAAAGTGTCCTCCACAAGAAATTTATTGGTGAAGGGTCAAGGTAAAAAAAATAAAAATTGAACTAGTAAATCGAATCTAGATCTACATGTTTTTGAATGACCAATTTTGAGATTCAACGGGTATACATATATTTATGTTGAACATGTAACTTTAGATTTCAAATTGAATGCCAAGAGTTCGTTTGGCAGGCTTTTGTTTTCTTTTCTTGTAAAAGAGTTTTCAGTTAGCTTTTTTTAAAAACCTTTTCAGTTGGACAATTACTTCTCGAAAATTATTTGAAGACGTTCAAAAATAGCCTTTTAACATTAGAAATGACTTTCAACTTTTCAAAAGTTTTATAAAATGGAACCTAATATTTTGTTTTTGAGCCAATTTAATTGGTAGCATAGTAACCGAGCAACACAAACTTTGCTCGACATGATCCTAACAACGACAATAATATAATTAGAGAGCAATCTTGAAGATTGAATTGGTCTACTTATGGACAAACTTAAAATGTATATTCTTATCTCAAGGAAAAATACAAAATCAAGCACATTTCAAATCATAGAAATTTTCCACTCATTAAAAGTCTATCATAAATTCTAATTAATTCTTCCTTAAAAGACTATCATCTAGTCCTTAAATTAGAAATATTAATTAGTTGGCAAAGTTGGCACGGTCCAAACGGGTGCTGGCATCTATTTATTATTGAGGAAATTTCATTGGATGTCAAAATTTGACTGTGCATTATAAAAAATGTCACCTTTTAAATTTTCTATCAAAAATGACATTTTTGACCCTCTGAATTTTTTGAATACCTTATATATTAATTTTCAAGCACGGTCTGCAAATTATGAATTTGTACAACATGCCGCTGTTTCCAATCGCCCAAATCTGTTGGACAACAATTTTTTCTTCTTTTACAGCTCTGGCAATGGCCGACACCTATAGCGAAGGCTGCCGCTGTTCTGCTCGACTGCTGCTACAATTCAACAGTGGCCCAATCACCCAAATCAGACCGACAATTTTTTTTTTCTTTTATAGTGCCGGCGATGATCAGCACCTGTGGCGGAGCTTTTTTTTTTTTTTTTTGGGTTATTTCGACCCAAAATTTATATTCCTTTCAAAATCAGATTTTTAAAATTTAAAATTAAATATCTTCAATTGCTAGCATTAAATGCTCATAAAAAGGAGGATATGAAGGGTAAGTTGAACATTTTTCACAAAAAAGTGACAATTTTAATAAGATTAGGTGCATATGCAAATTTTTCGTGTATTATTAAAAAAAAAAAGTGACATTTTTGATATTTTCCCTTTATTATTTATAGTGACAAAATAGACCTCAAACATTGACCATTCAAGAGAATAATTAAAAATTGGTGCCTGTACATTAGACTCCTTAAACTGGCCAGCTTCTAGAAGCTCGCCAAAATCGACAATTCCATTCTGACCTGCACAATTGTATATGAAATGACTTATTTGTCCACGATGCCTTTTCAAATTTGAACACTAAAATATTTCGTTAGAGTGAGAGAGAGAGAGAGGGGGGAGAAACTACGGAGATACTAGGAAAGTCATTAAGAATTTTGCCTACCCTTGTGTAAACCCATCCCCCATTTCCAACATTTATGGGCATTGTAGATTTTCCTCACATTTTGTCAATTTTCATATTATAACCTTTTCGTTCTCTTGAAAAAATTGATAGTTTTCTTGGTATATCCATCCCTAATCCCTTTTATTTGAAAACCTGGATGTCAGTTGAATTCTGAGATATTTGAGATTCTCAAGGTGGGTTCTGAAGCTTTTTAATTCCTGAAGATAGCTCAGTTTTGTTTTCTTTGTTTTTATATTGTTTCATTAAAAAGATTGGATTTTTAGTGTCTTTGACTACTGTTTGTACTTTTAGAAGTCTCCCAAGTAGCTGAAAGATCCAAAAAAGGGACTAAGTCTGTGTTTTTGTCTGTTTTATGCTCATATTCTAGAGACCGTTCGGCTGATATATTGACAAAAGAGGTCGAATAATTGAAGGTTTGATCAATGGGAAATTGTTGTGCAGCGCCAAAAACGTCTGATGAGAATAAAAAGAAGAATAAGCCAAATCCCTTTTCGGTTCATGGCGGTAATTTCACTATACCAGATGGTGGATTCAAATTCTATGTACTGGATGAGCTCGGGCGAGGTGAATTCGGGGTTACATATTTATGCACTGATAAATCTAGTGGTGAACTGTTTGCTTGTAAATCGATATCGAAGAACAAACTGAGGACTAGTGTGGATATTGAGGATGTTAGGAGAGAGGTTGAGATTATGAAGCATTTGCCGAAGCATCCAAATATTGTTAGCATAAAGGATACTTATGAGGATGATAATGCAGTTCATATAGTGATGGAGTTGTGTGAGGGTGGTGAATTGTTCGATCGGATTGTTTCTCGGGGACATTATACTGAGAGGGCTGCTGCGGCTGTCACTCGTACGATTGTTGAAGTTATCCAGGTGAGGATTCCATATTTTTATGTTACCTACTTTATTTGAAGTTTGATGTTTTCAGATTTATAGATTTGAATTTGTTGGCTATTAATTGATGTGAAATTTGCCCATTACTTGCTGCAAGAGTGGTACAATTCCATTCAGGTTGATGCATGAATTCTCATGATTTCTGCTAATGAAGTATTAGAATTTTTGAGTAATGCTATTTAGCCCCTGCGGTTGTAACCCCAGTCTAGGTGCCAATGGATGATAGGTTAAATGAAAGGTGAAATTAAATGAGTTATTTAATTCTATCTGTTAATTAATATCACATTAGCGCCAGCTAGATTGGATTTGCAACCCCAGTGGAGTTAAATAGCATTATTCAAAATTTACTCGAGTACATTTTTTGCAGTGACAATAAGTAAATTATTTCTAATTTTGATCTATAAAAACTACTCATTTTAAAACTTTTCTGTTTACTTATAAGTAAACTTACTTTTGCATAAACTTTTAAAGTAATATGACAGAATTCTTACCCAAAATGGTCTTTGGCCCTGGTTTGCCTCCCATTCTTGCAAAGCTCTTTATTCTATATACTCATTTTCAATCACACATTCACACAATAAAATATTCTACATGTAAATCCAAACTTTTCACTATTTTTCCAAAAAAATGGCCATCGAGCATAATTAGGCTTACTAGAATTTATAATATTTGAAAACTTATCAATGCTGATTTACATTTTTAATTTTTGTTAATGATTTTCGTCAGCCCAGAGCAACTGCCAAAACTTTTCATCTCTTGGTATATTATGAAAGTTACAACGGCTACCTGAATATATTCATCATTTTAATTACATGCAATTTTGTACTATTCTAGCATTTGCATTTGTGGTGAATATCAAGTGTTGTCTTTTGCTGTCTTTGCCACATGTTGTATTTAGAAACATCGGTTTACATCTTTGTATTTTCATTTCTGTTCAAGTGATTATATGCAGTTTTACCATCTTTGTAACTTTTCATCTCTTGGTATATTATGAAAGTTACAACGGCTACCTGAATATATTCCTCATTTTAATTATATGCAATTTTGTACTATTCTAGCATTTGCAATTTGTGGTGAATATCAAGTGTATCTTTTGCTTTCTTTACCACATGTTGTATTTAGGAACATTGGTTTACATCTTTGTATTTTAATTTCTGTTCGTATGATTATATGCAGCTTTACTAGTTACAAATTTTCCAATGAGGTTCGTTTTAAAGAAATCATGTTTTAAATGCGGTTCAATGTGTGAATTAATTATCTCCTGTCACTCTGTAGACGTGCCACAAGCATGGAGTCATGCATCGTGATCTTAAACCTGAAAATTTCTTGTTTGCAAATAAGAAGGAAACAGCACCCTTGAAGGCCATTGATTTTGGGCTATCAGTATTCTTCAAGCCTGGTAATGCCTTTTGATATTTATTGGTCTAAGGCAAACACATAAATTATTAATTAGCCAATATCAATTGTCGATCCTTTTGCCTTATCCAATTGTACTTTATAGGCCAGAAGTTTGATGAGATTGTGGGTAGTCCTTATTATATGGCACCGGAGGTGCTCAAAAGATACTATGGTCCAGAAGTGGATGTTTGGAGTGCTGGTGTAATTCTCTACATCTTATTGTGTGGTGTTCCACCATTTTGGGCAGGTCAGTCATTTTTCTTTCTAACTTTAATTTAAAAAGAAGTTACTAATTTTAGAAACTCTTATTTATCCGTCAAAATAATAACTTATTTAACCCCGAAAAAGAAGGAAAAAAAAAAAAAATACCAATTCTTAAAGCTTATTTACTTTGAAGCGAACACACAAGTTTATGGAGACCGGTAGAGTTTTAAGATCCTGTAAGGATGAAAAAGGCTCACTTGTAGCAGTAGTAGACAATTTTACCCCCTGTTTTTTTGCCTCTTTGATGTTTGGAAATGCATACTGCTGTCATTTGTATCTTATTCTTGGCATTTAACTTTCCTTGTGAATTGCAGAAACTGAACAAGGAGTTGCCCAGGCAATAATTCGGTCTGTTGTAGAATTTAAAAGAGATCCATGGCCTAAGGTTTCTGATAATGCAAAGGACCTTGTAAAAAAGATGCTCAACCCTGACCCCAAGCAGCGGCTTACAGCACAAGAAGTATTAGGTACTGAACAGTCTTTGGACGAATGATATCGTGGATTTATTCTTTTTATTGTCCATTGAAATGCTTCATCACTTGTTTTAAATTCATTAAATCAAAGGTTTAAATACACCAAGTTTTTAACAAAATATCACGTCGACCACTTGACACTCATTTTGTTTATAGTTGACAACTAAAAATCAATATCAGCTTGTTTGACTGAAGAAGACAGAATATAAATTATTGAACATGTCCCTCGAATATCTTATTCTTTCAAATGAAGTGGTCATACGTGGTATTAGGGCATGCAATATTAAATTAAAATCGAGGCACCCCATTTATGAAAATTGTGCACGTGTTAGATGGGGCTTTTTTTATAAATGAATCTTACCTAAAATGAGGGAACGTTATGAAAAAAATTTAAATTGACAAATATGTCCCTTTTAGCAGCTTAAGCTATTAGAAGTGGTTGACATCACTAATGAAAGGTGATGTAGGAGTCTAGTTACTTGCCAACTAGAGTGCTGCATTAGCATTTTTGTTATAGTCAAACTAACGGATATGGACTGAATAACAGAACTTTGAATTTTGGTGACCAAAGTGTAATAAAGTTTAAATTCAGCAACCTACGGGACATGAAATAAATTTTAGCGATGAGGACTAGTGTTTTAAACCTCAAAATCCAATATAGAAGTTGTGACAAATATTGCCGCTTGCTTGCAGATCATCCTTGGTTACAGAATGCCAAGAAGGCTCCAAATGTATCTCTGGGTGAAACCGTGAGGGCAAGGCTCAAGCAATTCTCTATGATGAACAAGTTGAAGAAAAGAGCTCTAAGGGTAATTTTGTACATTATACCAGCACATTTTTTTTGCTTCCTTTCATTTATCGATAATGTATTTCTGAAGCTTGTTTATTGATGTCTAAATGGTGTCTCGTAGCAAGGTAATTGATTACTAAAACTGCTTTTTCAAATGACAGGTGATTGCCGACCATTTATCGGTGGAGGAAGTGGAAGGCATAAAGGAAGGATTCCAATTGATGGATACGGGCAACAAGGGGAAGATTGACCTTAACGAGTTGAGGGCCGGATTGCACAAGCTTGGGCATCAGATCCCAGATGCAGATGTTCAAGTTCTTATGGAAGCAGTAAGTACTTCAGCTAGAAACTTGCTTGTTAGGCTTAAGTATGTATGGTTATGCACAAAATTTATAAAATAAGTGAGTTTCAAAATAAATAATATATTTTTTAAAATCAAAGTTGAAATAAGTTACTTATTTTGATAATAAGGTAAGACCTACTTTAAGAAAGTAATGTGTTTTGCATAAACAAGTAAGAAAAAGGTAACATCCAAATATGTTAGATATGCTTATACTTTAATTTTAGAGTAATGCTATTCGTAGTCGTTTACTGCGGCAGTCGCCCTACGTGGCATACACATGGCAGGTGATTATTTGATACATTAACGTGGTAGTTTTTTTATTCATTAATGCATCAAATAACCACCTGCCATGTGTATGCTACGTAGGGCGACTGCAAATAACATTATTTTTTAATTTTAACTCACCAAAACAAGCTCATTGTTTGATAGGCTTAAGACTCTAGTTTCTTATCGGTAAGCTTTATATTATTTTCCAAGTTTGTTGCGACGTCCCATTTAGATGAAATTCCTGCAAAATTTTAATTGGCATACTTGTGGATTATTAGCATTTATATATCATTCCTTTATCAGACCCATATCAGTTCACAATTCAATCGGCTTCTTCTTGGTAGAAGTTGTTGCACCATGTCATATAATGAAGCAACGTACTGACTATCCCAACCCTTTTTTTCTTTTTCTTGCACAAGCGCAAGGTCGAACTCTATATTTATTTGAATTCAGTACCAATTTCCTTGCATGCCATGTACAATCAAATTTTCAACTTCTGTCTGTGTTCTTTGATAACATGAAGTTTATCAAATTTTTACAGGGCGATGTCGATAAAGATGGATATCTCGACTGCGGAGAGTTTGTTGCAATTTCCATTCACCTGCGGAAGATGGGCAATGATGACCATCTGCAGAAAGCCTTTGAGTTCTTTGATAAAAACCAAAGTGGGTATATAGAGATTGAAGAGCTGAGGGATGCTTTAGCTGATGAGGTTGAGACTACAAATGAAGAAATTATTAATGCCATTATTCAAGACGTAGACACAAACAAGGTCAGTTAATTGAACACAGCTGTCAAGTCTTGACTAAAGTTAAATGAATAAATGTGTTCTATCTCTAACAACTTAAACAAGTCCCTGAATTCAACTCTTGCTGCTGCCTATTTATGAAAATCTTAAGCTTTTAAATGAGGTAGTTCAGCATATTATTAGAGTAATGATAGGGGCATTAAGTTCAAACTCTTTCCGTTAGCTATTTATGAAAGCTGTACGTGCGTAGAGCTTTGATAAAAAGGTGAATCTGATTTGCACATGAGGAAGCATATTTGAAAACTAAATTTAAAAGTAGATGAGTCTCCCTTTTTAAAAGCTTGAGCTTTTGGATGAGGTGACTTAACATAATATCATTGGCTAAAGATTTCATAATTACCATGCAAGAAAAGGCTTTCCCGAAAAATTCTTGTCTCAGATTTTTATATTCTATCTCAAAATGTGTATACGTCTTATATGGTTGCTTGAATTTTGTTCGTATCCTTGCAGGACGGACGTATTAGTTATGACGAGTTTGCTGCAATGATGAAGGCGGGCACAGATTGGAGAAAGGCATCAAGACAATATTCACGGGAACGATATAATAGTCTCAGCTTGAGATTGATGAAGGATGGATCATTACGGCTGAACAACGAGGCTATAGAGCTTAAAGTGGTTTAATGTATATTTTTAGATATTATGGTTTCGAATCAAATATTTCTTCAATTTTTACGTAGTATTGTTCATGAGATCCTTTTTATAGTGGATAACTAGATATAATTCCCCAGATTTTAAGTATTTCTTGAAGTGTAAATGTTCTGCTTCAGATGCCTGGAGGGATGAAGAAATATATAGAATGGGAGGTAATCTCTGTGTGTTCATTTGCAACATTTATCCTCAAATTTCCGTTGATTAGCACTTTTTGTACAAAAAGTCTATTAGGTGGGCATGAAAAGACTTATTTACCCTTCTTATACTTATGTCCAGCATAAACTAACTTATTAGGGATTAGATATTCTATTTAATGAAAGATTGAGGATAAGAAACTTCTAAAATAGGCGGAAACATGTGTTATGATAATAAGAAAAGATTCAGAAATTTTAATTAGATTAAAAAGCAGGTTAACATAAAATAATAATAATAATCTGGTGTTAGTATAAAAATCCAGTTTAAAATTTGACTTATTTTGTTTTCTTATCCTATCTCGGAAAAAATCCCGAATAGCCCCAGAAATGTTTTGATAAGTGCAATTTGTGCACTTATTTAGACCACATTTTCAAACTTTTAAATCGTCAAATTATTAATTTTTAGTTAACTTATATTAATTTTCTTTGTGTTTTTAGTGATGGACTCGTTTAAAGCAATTGGAAAGGAAGAATGACGAAATCGAATAAAATCTATAATTTGGAATTAAATTCAGCAAGTTTGAATTTGAGACAGACTAAATTGCACTATTTTAATAGAATTGAAGACTTGGAGAAAAATAATCCAATGGATTCAAATTCTATAATTAGCAGAACTTTTAATTGGTTGCCGGAAATTAAAGAACAATTGAATCTGACTTCAAATTGGAGACAATCACCACTGGTTGGCTGGCATCACAATCAATTAAGCTTATAAATTAAAAATATAAATAAAATTCAATAAATTATTTATTTATAATAGTATTTCAAAAAAATTGCACTCTAAGTCCTTCATTTCTTCTAGAAATAAATAACGAGTTCCTACTTTAGTAAAATAACAAAAATAAAATGATTAAAGACGACTGCCTGCTTTGGACGGTAGTACGTAGCAAGCGAATCCGTAAAAGGCTTCCTTGAATGTTAGTACGTAACAAAATGTGAGAATTCGACGACCGATTTTAGACGAATATGCCATGTAATTTGGATGGTCCGGCGACATTATTTATGAAGCTAAAAGCTATTTCTGGCTTTTAATTCATAATTTGTGTGCTAATAAAATTTGCAAACAAAATTTGTGTACATTAGGAAAAATGAATTAAACAAAATTTGCATTGTTATCTCTTATAACTACTTTGAGAAAAAAAAAAGCATCTAGTACATCATTAGTGCAGATAATATCAGTTCGATATTTGAGCCCTGTGCTTTATGTAGTATATGCTCTTGTCGTGTAGGCATTCACATTTTCAAGAACAGAAGGGAATTTGTACATTACTGATATTTTTATCCACTCTGATGCATATTAACATGTCACAGGACAGAATCAACTGCCATTTACATTCCCAAAAAAAATTATTAACACAAAGTAATATTTTAAAACATGATAGTGCAGATATTCTAATTCAATTCTGTAATTGCAGTGTTCGCTTCTTGAGTTTATTTCGTTTCAAGCTATGGTGGATGAGTTAGAGAATGGGAACATGTGGGAAGGACATTCCTTTAGAGACCCAATTCATGCTCTTGGAGAGCAAAGATACTACTGGAGGCGAACGTGAAGATGCCCCAACCATTTATATCTGTTAAGGGAAAATAATCTCACATCGGTAAAATACCGAAATATTGACCAACTTAAAAAGATCTTGGGCCACTCCTCTTAACAAGGTTGATCTTATTAAGATGGGCCCCAACTCTTCACATGATATCAGAGCTCAGTATGCTCCAACGAGCTATTTAATCCGATTAAGTCTAAAAAATGAGCACACGGATTTCAAAATGGTCTGCTCAAAAAATAAGCCACCATCTTGCGGGGGGCATGTTAAGGGAAAATAATCCCACATCAGTAAAATATCGAAATATTAACCAACTTAAAAAGATTTTAGGCTACTCCTCTTAACAAGATTGACCTTATTAAGATGGGCCCCAACTCTTAACAATATCGTCTTCCTGCCATTCCTTGAAGGCCAGTTCCATGCTGTTCTTCAAGGCAATGAGAAGAATGAGCTGGAGATCTGCCTTGAGAGTGTTGTGTAGCTCATGGCATCAGAAAGTATATGGTGTATGCTGCATGCATTGACATATGTGGCATAGCCCCCGCAGGCCACATGCTTCGTTACTTTGCCAACCATTAAGGCAAAATCCACTGTTTAGCCAGTCCATCCATTCAGCATAAAAATGGAGATCAAGAGTCTTGTACGGTGGGGTGAATGTTATGAAGTGGTATGATTGTTCAAAACCAACAATTAAAAAAAAAAAAAAATAAAATAAAATTTTAGGCCATGCGGTCGCATGACCTAAAGCCGTGCGACCGCATGGAACCCTACCGAGACCAAATGGTCTCGGTAGGGTTGTACCATGCGGTCGCATGGTACATAAAAAACGACCGTTGAGTCGTTTTTTGTTAGTTTTTTGGTGGCTTTTCATCCATAAGGTGCACCACTTCGTAAAGCTATACTACTTGGCTATAAATAGGTGATATTGGGTCATTGAAAAATGTAGAAAAAACACCTATTATATTGATACTTCTTGAGATCAAATCCAAAAATAAAATACCCTCTCATATTCATATTTTTCTTTGTGTTCTTAAGTTTTAGAGATTCAAACAAGTGTTTAGTGTTTGAATCTCTATAAGGCTTGATTAATCCTTCAAACCTTTTGCCGGATCACCCTTTAAACACCAAAATAGTGGGGGCAAAATTCGTTTGAGGACAACAATCAAAGATTGTGTTTGAGCCTTCAAAGTTCTTCATATATCCTTTGCTATTTGTTCATCTCCTATACTTCTTTCGATAATTTTTCTATTTGTAATTTGTTCTCATCTTTGGTGGAGTAACATTATTTCCAACAATCTCAAACGAATTTTGTGTGATGGAAAACGAAACTACAATGGCGACCATCAAATTGATGAATCAAGATTTGGTTCGATTGGATCGGTTCGATGGCACAAATTTCACAAGATGGCAAGACAAACTGAAGTTTCTTCTTACCGCATTGAAGATCTTCTATATCTTAGACCCAGAATTGACGCCATTACCGGAACCCGCCAATGGAGAAACCGAAGCAGTTAGAGCAGAAAGGCAAAAACGACAAGAAGATGAACTCATATGTCGGGGTCACATACTCAATGCTCTTTCAGATCGTTTATATGATTTGTACACCAACACTTCTTCGGCAAAGGAGATATGGAATGCTTTAGAAAGCAAATACAAAGCAGAGGAAGAAGGTACAAAGAAATTTATAATTTCAAAATATTTTGATTTTAAGTTTTTGGAAAATATTCCCCTACTTCCCCAAATACATGAGATGCAAGTCCTTGTCAACAAATTAAAGGCGGTAAAGATTGAAATCCCGGAGACCTTTCAAGTGGGGGCTATAATAGCAAAACTCTCGGGAACTTGGAAAGGATACCGGAAGAAAATTATGCATAGTTCTGAGGATTATTCTTTGGAACAATTGCAAAAGCACCTAAGGATTGAAGAAGAATCTAGGTTACGCGATAGAAGTGAAAACTCTTCGGAAGGAACTTCTAAAGCGAATGCTATAGAGAAATCTGAACCACCTGGAAAAACCAACAAAAGGAAGCCTTCAAGAAACTTTAACAAGTTCAAAAAGAAGAACAAAGGAGGTTGCTTTGTGTGTGGAAAGTCTGGTCACTATGCAAAAGACTGTAGACACCGGAAAAGAAACAACTCCGAAGGAAAAATCAACTCCATTCAAGAAGAAAAGATTGTGGCTACCGTGAGCGAGATAAATGCAATTAAGGGAAAGGTTCCCGGGTGGTGGTATGATACTTGTGCTACGGTGCATGTATCATATGATAAATCTTTATTCAAGACCTATCATGAAATGGATGGAGACCAAGAGATTCAAATGGGCAACGAAGTTCGATCCAAAGTCATTGGTAAAGGAAATGTAGATTTAATCTTCACTTCCGGGAAAAACGTTACCCTCACTAATGTATTACATGTTCCGGATATGAATCGGAACTTAGTTAGCGGAAATCTCTTAGGAAAACCGGGTATCAAAAGTGTATATGAATCCGGTAAACTTGTATTATCCCTTAAAGGGAGTTTTGTTGGAAAAGGCTATTCTTGTGAATGAATGGTCAAACTTTGTACTGTTGACAATAAAATAAATAAAGTTGATCTTGCTTATGTTGTGGATTTATTTTCATTATGGCATGCTAGGTTAGGACATATTGGTAAAAGTACCATGAAACGAATGAAAAAGTGTGACTTAATTTCATATGATGAAAATAACGAATATAGATGCAAAACTTGTGTAGAATCTAAGATGATTAAAAAACCGTATCAAAGTGTAAAAAGAACCTCTAGTATTTTGGAACTAATTCATACGGATATATGTGAATTAAATGGCATGTTAACCAGAGGTGAAAATAGGTATTTTATTACCTTTATCGATGACTTTTCTAGATATACATATGTATATTTAATGAAACATAAACATGAAGCATTTAACATGTTTAAGATTTATAAGAATGAAGTTGAAAATCATCTAGTAAAGAAAATAAAAACCTTAAGGAGTGATAGAGGTGGTGAATATTTTTCTAGTGATTTTAATTTATTTTGTGAACAACATGGCATAATTCATCAATATTCTGTACCAAGGACTCCCGAACGAAATGGTTTGGCTGAAAGAAAGAATAGAACATTAGTAGAAATGATTAATGCTATGCTTATATTTGCTAAGTTACCTTTTAACTTTTGGGGTGAAACTTTATTAAGTGCATGTAGGATACTTAATAGGATTCCTTCAAAACATATTAAGGTTTCTCCTTATCAATTATGGAAAGGAAGAAAACCAAACATTGGATACTTCAAAGTGTGGGGGTGTCTTGCCTATTGCAAGAACACGAACCCTAATAGAAACAAATTAGGTCCAAGAGGCATTAAATGTGCTTTTGTTGGATATGCTAACAATAGCAAATCTTATAGATTGTTAAATTTGGAGACCAATGTGATTATTGAATCAAGTGAT